TGTTTAAAGAAAATGAAAGAACATAATAATATATGGACAAAGTAACTTGAACAGAAACAAAAAAGAAAGGAAAAAGGACTGAAAAAAAATTTCAGTACATTTATATGTATAAATATACTCATTATTATATCATCATCATCATACAGCCTTTTGCGTCCAAAGTTAGACATAGACCTCCCCTAATTTCTTCGTTCCTAACTCCGTCTCACTAAAGGTCACAACTTTGATACTAGTAGTATATGCTCTTAATGACAATGTCTTTAGTGTATGACTCTTGCTTGTGAACTGACAACATGGCTTGATCAAATAAAAGACCGCAAAGAACTATGGTACAATGAACACAAGGTATGATATTGCCCATGACATTTGACAGCTGACCCAGGCGTGTGACGTAGTCAAGAACGCTTGAACCCATGGTACAATGAATACAAAAAAAAAGAAAACCAGTTACATTAATTGAATCTTCTGAAGATAGTATTGTAGAACATGACTCTTGTGATATGCATAAAAAGAGTTTAAGTATTTCTGTGATACAGAAAATGTTAACAGATTTAAATCTAACTCCTAAAAGAGCCTGTGATAATATTTCAAAATTAGGCGAGAAGGTGAGCTTTGTCCCAATTGCAAATACATCATATTCTTTGCCTGATAGTAAGAATTCGTCATATTCAAGTGATCATTCTGAAAATGATGCTATCATCTGAAAGACCATATTTAGTAGAAGAGTTTCTTAACGAATAACTAAGAAATTACAGTAGGTACCTTTATGAACAAGCAACTTAAGTATTTTTATAAATATTTATGTATCATAAGCAGCAACTTCAGAGGACAGAAACGAATTATACAGAAAGCTAGGTAGGGTAAGTACAAATACCATAATGCAGGTAGCAATGAGAGGAAAGACTGAGTACAACGCAATATTGGAGGCAGTAACTCAAATTGTCAGAAAGAAGGAGATATTAGAGAGGAATCTACAGCAAAGGTAGGTAAGAGAGTGAGAGAGAGGGCGAAAGAGAGAGAGAGAGAGAGAGAGAGAGAGAGAGAGAGAGAGAGAGGGAATGGGCTTTTCATGTGATGCACCGGTCTGGAGAGGACCTACCGCATGAGTAGCCTGTATAAAGGGGGTGGACTTTAGTTGGCAGGCAGGGAGCTATGGGTGTATCTGTGAGCACGACCCCTCTGGGGGACTGCGTGCGGATGGATCCTTCCACCCTGAATCCAACACACGCCAGGTCATCCTTAACGGGACACGGCCTGGTACGGTCTTTAGAAGATTTACCACAAAAAAAAGGCAGCAACTTCAACTAGTATCTTTAATTTTGTGATATTGGGGATTTTTGTAATTTCAATAAATTTTAATTATTGTCTTTTCTGATTTTTGTAAGTTTTGTCCAATTATGTTAAAAATTATATTTTTTTTCTGTTTTGGTATTTATTTATAAAAAAAGCTATTCGCGGCTTCTTCAACATAATAACCGCTCTACTTACCAGGATATTTTCTACTTTTCATTAACAATTTAAATGATCTGACATACGAAGTAGATGCTATATGCTATAAATCTATTACAAGGAATTTTGTTACAATGATTTAAGTATTATTTTGCACTTTACCAAATTAGACTTAAAAACATTTATATAGATACTAAAAACGTATTCAGCCACATTGATTTTAATATACATCAAAATTGTGAATTAATTTCGTGCATGCTATTCCTACTTGTTTGTAATGTAGGCATGCTACCATCTACTTCATAACAATATCTACTATTTCCAACATGTGTATTATCGTTTAATAACTACCCTTACAAACTAAATCTGTGATGTCAAATGTCTACGTCAATTGTGTCAAAATTACTAGTATCATGCTGTTAGGTCCATTTCCGTACTAGGTTTCTGGGCCCTAGAAAAAATATTTTAAAAGTCTTACCTTATTTTTTGTAGAATTTCCAGATACATAATAATATAAACAATAAAAAAAGTTTTATTAAAGTTCCTGAAAAAGTGATCAATGTTTACGCACTTGAGTATAAATAAGTATTTTTATAATAGGTAAAAGAAGTAATAAATAAGACTTACTCACAATCAGTTTAATTTAACTATCTAGGCGACCGGTTTCGCTTTCTACAATATGCAAAGCATCTTCAGGTCTCGATACAAAGTTAATTAAATGCTGAAGTAATAAAACCCATATTAGGGTGTTATCTTATAAAGATAAACAAAGATAAATGATATAACTTACAGTAATTATGTCAATATTACATTTCTGTGGTTATTCAAAATGAATAAACTGTTTAAACAGACAAGGTAAGACCCACAAATTGGTATAAATAGGTCTCTTGAATTATAATAAATTAGTAAATAAATAAAACATTACTTACATGCCGGTACTCTATTAATTAATGGCTGGAAGAACATGGTTCAAACTATCCTGTATTGCTGAATGGAGAACTTCAGTTTTTTCTATTGTAATTGTTTGACAATAAACAGGGAAGTTCTTGAGGAGATAGATTTTATCAAATGAAGTAGAAATAGGTCTAACTTGATTGTTTGTTAGGTGAGAGTGATGTTCTATATTATTTAATTATTTAATTATTTAAAAGTTATGTATATTTATTCAAGAGATATATTTATGAAATGTGTGTTATTTATTGAGATTTTATGAAGGTGACAGTTGTATGACAATGATTGAAATTAGATATACAATTGTGTGGGTGTGCAAATTACTTCAACTTGTAATTATCAAATTTCTTTGATAAAGTTCTGTTCATTTACTAATATATGGCAAATGATTGTAAAGTCCAGTATGTAAAATTATTAAACTTAAACCAAATGAAAACTCATTGTTTCCAAGTCAGAGATATAGTGCTTTTAAGTCCCCCTCTTTTTAAATTTAATGTCTGTTTCGTCCTTTTTAAGCTTTTTCTGTATTTTCTGTGACAATTACAATTACAATAGAAAAAACTGAAGTTCTCCATTCAGCAATACAGGATAGTTTGAACCATGTTCTTCCAACCATTAATTAATAGAGTACCGGCATGTAAGTAATGTTTTATTTATTTACTAATTTATTACAATTAAATAGACCCATTTATACCAATTTGTGGGTTTTACCTTGTCTGCTTAAATAGTTTATTCATTTTAAAAAACCACAGACATGTAATATTGGCATAATTACTGTAAGTTATATCATTTATCTTTGTTTATCTTTATAAGACAACACCCTAATATGGGTTTTATTATTTCAGCATTTAATTAACTTTGTATCGAGACCTGAAGATGCTTTGCATATTATAAAAAGCGAAACCGGTCGTCTAGATAGTTAAATTAAACTGATTGTGAGTAAGTCTTATTTATTATTTCGTTTACCTATTTGAAATGGACTCACATAAGCAACACATTCATGATGTGTGTTAATCTTTGAAACTCGTCTTCTATCTCGGTGATTAATGCGGCGTCGTCTGCATAACATAATATGTAGATTTCTGTGTTCCCCATTCTGTAGCCATGACTTTTACGTACAGATTGTATTATTTCGTCCATTATTATATTAAAGAGAAGTGGGCTTAACAAGTCACCCTGTCTAACTCCACTTTGTACTGGTATACACTGTGTTTTCCATTTATCTTTGGATGCGATTGAAAGCGATTGGTTTATTGTACTGGATAACCTTTTGGGTGATTTGTCTTAGTACAAATACGGCGTCTACACAGGATCTTCTGGATCTGAATCCTTGTTGTTCATCTGATAAAGTTGTATTCCTTTAATTCTGCCATTTCTTTCCGTTAGTTTCTTATGAATCTCCATATTCGTTTTTGTGTACCGTAGGAATACCTTCCAATTCTTTTTTGTAAACTGTTCCCAGTGTTCACATTTTGTTCTTCTTACCAACTGTTTGGTTCCATTTTGTATTCTTCTACAGGTGTCTCAAGATTCTAGAGAATTTGATGTTTTGCACTTTGTGTATGCCTCTCGTTTCTCTTTACATTTCTCTGTTAGTTCTTTTCTGAACCATGGTGTACTGTTGTTGTTTCTTTCGTTCAGTATGACTTTGCGTTTTGCTAGAGCTTTTGTTGCTGCTTCTTCAGTGTTGTTTTTAATTTTCTCCCAACTCGCGTTTAAAAATCCATCTTAATAATTTAAAAACAAATCAATAACAATAGGTATCACGAAATAATATTGATAAACTTTGTTGCTGTTCACTGCGTAACTGAAGTGAAGCCTAATATCAAAAAACCAAGTTTCAAGCTTTTTTTGAAAAATTGTACGTATAAAATATCAAACTTAATAATAAACTTACCTTGCATACAGCTGGAGGAAGGTTATATGAGTGATACATGAAGATGCAAATTGAGAAATAGGGTGCCAAACATGCTGTTAATGATAGTGATGGTGAAATGCATTAGCTAGATAGATGTCACAAAATGTTAACATACACAAAGTAGGGAAAAATCAAAATAAATAAAAATAAAACACATTTCTTCAGAAAAATACAATCTATTTAAAACAATTGTACAATGTTCATACAATAATCAGACATTTTTGAATTTATCTTTTCTTTATAATCGTCACGTAAATTGTGACATGTACCTAGATTAATGCAAGAAGCATTTTAAATAAATAAATAAATTATAAATAAATAAATACTACTGGCTACATTTTTTTCTATGCTTGATTTACTAAATGAGGTTTGTATTAAGAAAGTTTTTTTATGATACAGAAACTTAAAAAAATTTAAGCGAGAGAAGCGAAAGACATTACTACAGTTCTACTGCTTGGCATTTTTAATTGCAAATATTCTATTTTTTACTGTAAAATTTCGGCCTGGTAAATGTTTTGACAAGTATATTACGACGTTCAAATTTCTATTAAAGATGCCAAACAATGATGTACAAAAACTATAACACATCCTAAGTCCATCATGTCAAACCTCCTTTGTACAGTTCCAGAAATGGTCTTTTAAACAGAAGAAAATAGTCTCTACCCTACTCCACATCCACTACCTATCTGATTTTGTTAGCAACTTTATGATGGCGGTGGTGTTTCCTAGATTTTTTGGCCTTCTTAGTATGCTTTAATTTTTTGGACTCACGTGATCTTTTCGCTTCGATGACATCCTCTAGGCCGGTTTCATCGTCGTCGTCATCGTCGTCATCATCGTCATCGTCATCGTCGTCATCGTCATCGTCATCGTCAACTAAGTCACTAACAGGATCGTCATCGTCATCGTCATCGTCGTCATCGTCATCGTCATCGTCGTCATCGTCAGTGGTGGCGGGTACCGGTTGTACTATAATTGGTTCAACAGAATTTTCTACCGGTTGTGCCACCGCCACTGGTTCTTTGACGACGATGACTGAGTCAGAGTCTTGTGATACGCCTGTTTCGTCCGTACCAGTTGCACCTTCCGCATCTCCTGCTGCAATTTCTTGAGCGTCCAGTTCTTCGCTTGGGTTTACCTCAGCACCTGTCTCACCGACATCTGCGGGCTCTGAAGGTGCCACAGGTACAGCTTCAATTGGCTCGACCGGTTGCGGTTGGGGTTGAGATACCTGGATAGGTTCATCGTCGTCATCATCGTCGTCGTCGTCATCATCATCTCCTGAAATAAAACATTATTCTTATAAAGACAAGATTTAAAAAATATAAATATGATTTTGGATGTAATGGACAGTCAGTAGCTAATATTCGCCTATGGATAAGAAGGACTAATTACCAAATGGAGGATTACCAAAAAAACTTATAACCTGTGGAAAAAAGCAAAGATAGAATCGATCTAGGATGAGTAAAAAACTAAGGGAGAGAGTGGTTTAAATGACATTACAAACTGAAAAAAAAGAAGGCAATTATCAAGAACCAATGATTGCAGATAATTCGAAAGGAAATAAAATTAATCACAGAATAATACCTACTAAGATCTACTTAGAAATATGTTTAATATCGAGAGATAAAATATTGGATAGCCTACAATAATTGTTTAACGATTAAATTAAATCTCAAGGTATTGGTCTGTAGAGTACATATGCTAATCAGAAAGCAAAATAATTTAAAAATTAATAAAAAGGTATAAAGAATAAAAAAATTGCTTATGCAGTATTAGGAACAGAGAACAACGACAAAAAACAGCACGAGCCACCATGGATGACAGAAAACGTAAAAGAAATGATACCAGAGAAAAAACAAAATATATAAGAAATGGCTAACAAATAAAACATCTAGCAAAAGAGTAGCATTTCAAAGGAAAAACGGAGAAGTAAGTAATCAAATTAAAGAAGCAAAAAACAATTTTTGTGAACAAAAATGTGTCCAAATTGAAAATTGAATTGGTGGTTCCCAGACTACGGAAGCATGGAGAACTATCAATAATCTAAAGAAAAATACCCATAACTCCTTAAGCAACTTAATTCCTATAGAAAAGTGGGAAAATCACTATAAAAATTTACTACAAGATTTTAGATTGGAATATATGGGAGAGGAATACAGTAAGGAGAGACAAACAAATAGTAACATTAATACTACTAACAACGAGGTCCGTACTGCGTTAATTAAAATGAAAAACCGAAGATCTCCAGGACCTGCAATATAGCTGTAGAGTTACTTAAAGCAGGAGGTTCACTTTTAATATAACGAATAACTTTTCTAATGAATCAATGTTGCCAACAAATTAAAGTATCATCTGAATGTTAAACTGCTCACCAAGTGTCTATATTTAAAAAGGGTAATCGAAAAGATCCTAACTGCTACAGACGATTAAGTGTCCTACCTACTTTCGGGAGATTGTTTGGAAATATAATAAATGGGAAAATACAAGATGATGTAGGATATCTAATTAGCGAAGACCAAAGTGGATTTACGCCTGTTAGATCTTGCACTGGTAACTTGTGTATACTCAAACAATTAATAGAAAAAAGATTAGCGGTTGGTATCGAAGTACATCTAGCCTTCATCGACCTAGAAAAGGCGTATGATACAGTTCCAAAACAGAATATTTAGTTATCAATTCAGATTCAAGGTTTGAGTATTGATAGACGAGGACGTGGAAGTCACACAAGTGGAAAATTTAAATATTTAGATGCACTCATTGATAATAACGGCTTGGGAGAAACCGAAATTAAACACCGAATTAATCAGGGACCTAAAATTGAAGGATGTCTGAACTTCTTATGGTGGGATCGCAACATTTTCAAAAGGAACAAAAAAAGAATACGGCAAACCATGGTTAAATCAGTTCTTTGTTATGGCTCTGAAGTATATACTATTCATGCAGACCTGAAGAGAAGATTGTTGGCAGTTGAAATGGACTATTTGAGAAGAAGTGCTAGAAGATGAAGGCTGGAAAAGAAAACCAATGAAACGGTCATTGACAGAATAAAAAGAAGAGGTTTACAATGGTTTGGACACCTGTTAAGAATGCCTGACGAACGTTGGCCCCAAAAACTTCACAGATGGAAGCCCCCTGGTAGAAGAAAAAGAGGTAGACCTCGACGCTCATGGAATGAAGGTATTAGAAGAGCAATGGGATCGAGAGGTTTGGAGAAGGAGCATGCCTTGGCTGGGGAGGATTGGCGGAGGAGAACGAGAATACGACGATAGCCGTCTCAAAATGTATTGTATTTACAAGTTGGATCCTGTAATATGTATAGGTATAAAGAATTCTCTACGGATACTTATATAGTTAAAAGGAATATGACATCACAGTAAACTTTTTTTTGAGTGTTCACAGTAATCCTTCTCCATGTAAACTAAATGTGATCGTATTTTTAAATGTGTTGCTTACCGCCTAAAATATCATCTAAAAATCCTCCAAAGTAGTCGTCGTCGTCATCGTCATCGTCATCATCGTCATCATCGGCTGGACTGTCATCATCATCGTCATCGTCGTCATCATCAACTCCTAAATCCAAATCATCGTCGTCGTCATCATCGTCGTCATCGTCGTCGTCTCCCGATTGACGTCCTTTAACCTTAAACGAAAGTAAATGTAATTATTTTTATATCTAATATTAAGCTAAACCAATATATAACATTGTGTAGCATTAGTATTGTTCTATAATGGCATATGGTACTACAAAAGGGTAACCATAGGTGGCTATGCAACTGACATTTCAAAATGAAACAATTATTAATTTATTATAAACTGTCAGTCCTCATACAGGAATGTGTTATACTGCAGATAGATATATTCTCAATTTATGTAAAAAATAATAAAAACAAGCAAGCGACAAGAAGAGAATATAGGCTGATTTATCCAGATCGACAGACTCCTTCTACAAATACATTTTTATATAATTATCGTCATGTCATAAATGAAAAAATGTTTGAACAGAAGAAACGTACTATCGTAGGAAATGGTGATAAAGATCGTAATACTTTGGTTTACTTTGAAGGTAAAAATTAAATACTTAAATAATAGATTAAATCTATAATAACATTTTTATTTTAGAAAATTCCGAAACTAGTCTAAACAATGCTACTAACGCATTAGAGAAAAGCCGTGCGACGATACATAGAGTTTTAAAAAAGCACAACTATAAGCCGTACAAAATATTACCGGTACAATAACTTACCGATGTTCATAAGAGAAAGCGTTTACAGTTCTTTCAAGGCATGCTTACAAATTTGAACAATAATCCTAATTATTTTTATAACATTTTATGGACAGATGAATAAGATTTTTCAACTTCAGGCAATTTTAATAGAAGAAAATTCGTGGGAACAGAAATATAATAAAAAAGAAAAATTAGCAAATAAAAAAGTCAGGAAGAAAATCAATAAATGTGTGCGAAATATTTCAAAACAAAATAGTTGGACCATTGTTTTATGATTATAAATTAACTGGGAAATCATATTTGGACACAGTCATTAGAGAAGTGGATGAGTTATTAAATTAAAATTATACACAAAATCAATTAAATAGTATGATATGACAACAAGATGGAGCACCGCCACATAATGTCGTACTCGTTCAAGAATATTTAAATAATCAATTTAATGTGTAGATCGGCAATAAGGGTACCATTACATGGCCACCAAATAGTCCCGACTTAACACCATATAATAGTTTTTATGGGGGTTTTTAAAAGAAAAAGTGTATTTTGATTCAAATACAAATATTAACACTATAACATTTTCAATTGAAAATTTAAATGGTCAAAACACAATATCTGATGCAGAAAATTTGAGACGAAGATATTAGTTGTGCATTGATAACAATGGAGGGCACTTTGAGCATCTATTTTAATCTTAAATTTAGTATTGTATCTTAAATGTAGTATTGTAACTTAAATGTAGTATTGTATCTTAAATGTAGTATTGTAAGTCATTAATTTTGTTGACTTTCTAAATATATTTTTTTCTTATCTTAGTATAGTATAGTAGTACCATATGCCATTATAGAACAACTAATGCTACACTATGTTGTATATTTGTAATCAGGAAATGCAGAACTACTCAAAACTATAAAAAATACAGGGTGTCCCATTTGAAACATTGGAGATGCTTTTTATTGGGCACTCCCTGTATACAAAATTTGGTCTGTTGCTACATTATTGTTCGGTACAGATACAGTAATACAACTTTTATTTGAAACTTTTTTTGTATTACCGAAATTAAGGAAAACAAGTGGGGGCTCAAAATATAATGAGAAACCCTGTACCTAGAGCAAAACAGCTAATAAATACTTATGAGTTGATTGAAATTTTGATTGAGAAGTCTAATAAATATTGTATTCCAGAAAGACAATCCAAATAAACCACTCGCTGTAACAAAAAATAATATGGAACAATTTATTGGTATGTCAATATATAAATTACCGAGACAATGAATGTTCTGGAATCCAAACACGAGGATAACCCAAGTAGCTGATGTAATTTGACCGATTTGAGAGCTTAACAAAATTTACATATGAGCGACAACTCTAAACAATCATCTAGTGTCTCCAACCAATAAAAATAAAATGAATATGGTGTTTCTAAATTGCAAACCGAAAAAAAGAAGAAGTATGGGATGCCTCCTAAAACTATGGAACGAAATTTTATACTCAACATCAGGGAACGCCTACTCTTACTCCAGTGGTCAGAGGCGAAAATGCCAGAGTAGCTCTAAAAATTATACGAACAAGCTGAATTTCGCTGAGAACGTCAATTTTGGGACCCCAATACAAAAGGGTTTAACGAAATTAAAAATCTTCAACACAAATGTAAAAGCTGTATTACTGTATGGCTGCGAAACGTGGAAGATATCAGCACCCATAGTACATCAATTACAAGTTTTCATCAATAGAGTGTTACGAAAAATCCTTCGTATATTTTGGCCTAACCGAATCTCCAATGAAAAATTATGGAACCAAAGCAACCAAGAAAATGTCATAAAGCAAATAAGGCGAAGAAAATGGAGATGGCTGGGCCACACACTCCGTAGACCGCCAAATGACATTGCCAGGACAGCGCTGGATTGGAATCCCCAAGGCCGACGGAAAGTAGGCAGACCTAAGGGAACTTGGAGAAGGACAGTACTGGACGAAGGGAGAAAAATGGGAAAATCCTGGCTTGAAATCAAAGCACTAGCCAGAAATAGAGTTCGCTGGAGACACTTTGTGGAAGCCCTATGTTCCTCTTAGGAATCTTGGGACTATATATATATATATATATATATATATATATATATATATATATACATATATATATATATATATATATAATACAAAAGGGTTTACTGCTCCTACCTCCGGCTTTAACCTAAAAGCCTTTCTTGTAGAGGGGTAGGGGCAAAAAAAGAATCTGTAAGCCGCAGGAAAAAATATTGCAAATAAAAAATGTAGCTGAGTCAAATGTCAAAAAATATGTTCATGTTACGCGCGACATCAATTTGAAACAAAATTTGCATAAAACGTATTTTGATTTTTGTCGATAGGATACTTTAATCAAACGATATCGATATTTACAGTTGATTCAGAGTTAATACAAATGTTATTTAAAATCTATTTCGCGCGCAACTGACATTTAAAATCGCCGATCGTTTCAAGCGTTGTTTGTGAGCGTACAGGTACTTGATCAATCGATATTTTTTTCGTTTCCACTCCCTACGACGCGGAGTTTTAGAGGAGAACAGGGGAGTAGGAGTGGTAAACTTTTTGCATTTTTTTAGGGTTTCAAACTTAATATTCTCAACAAAATTCAGCTTGTTCGCGTCATTTCTAGAATGCTCTACCTACTGTGCTATCTGGAATGAATAAGAAGAAAAATATTTTGCAGGTTAAAAATAACAGTGGTCTGTCAATTATCTTTCTAAAGGTGTATCAACTTAAACGTCAATTACTACGGAGTACATTTTATACCAAAACTAAACATTATAAATAAAAACATATTGACTTACCTTTCCTTTTGTTTTTACTTTTTTAATAGCAACTTTGTTCTCTACTGGTTTTTTATCATCGACTTTCTCGGGTTGTGCTAAGTCTGTTGCTACTTTTGGTTTATTTTCAATTTCTTTGTCTTTTTGTGCTGGCTCTTGTTCAGTCTTTGTTCCTTCAACGGCAGCTTCGTCAGTCTTGAAAACTCCTTTCGTTTCCTCTTGTACTATTCCTTGTGATTCTATTTGTTTTTCTACTTCCGGCGACTTTTGTTCTAACGACCTACTTTCGTGGTCCGCAGTTATTGTTACTATTGGATTTGCGTTACATTGCCACAATAGTAAGCACACAACTGTGCCTAGGATGTAGCGTCTCATCTTCTATTCTGTAACAAAGGAAAATTTATTACTTCTAAGTCTATCAAAATAATAATAATAATAATAAAAAATAAACTTCTCACAAAGTCGCAAAAACATCATCCACGCAGTGCAGTAGAGAGAACAACATTGCCGCGGTATTAAGGAGGAAGAGGACTTATGGATATAGGTGAGCAATTAGATAAACAAATTGCTAATTTAAGAACTTATCTTCAGGTACAGGCTGAGACATCTACTTTACATCGAGCAATTTGCGCAGTAGACGACACAACGCCGCTTAAACTGAGGGAACAAGAAATGCGCATAAACCATCTGACTAAGCAAGAAAAAATGCGCACCTGGATGAGTAAACCTCTGCATGGGCGACATCTCAATGAGATCAGCCAAGAATATGTCGACAATACATCGTCAAACTATTGGTTGACATCAGGAAAGATGTTTCCCGAAACTGAGGGTTTCCTACTTGCCATTCAGGATCAGGTAATTCCAACTAAAAATTACCTAAAATATATTGTTAAAGATCCTCAAGTCCAAAATGACAAATGCCGATATGGATGCCAAGCCCAAGAAACCATCCTACATTTTACCGGTGGCTGCCAGGCATTTGTCGGTACCGATTATAAAGAACGCAATGACTCAGTAGGAAAGATTATCCACCAAGAACTAGGTGACAAACTGGGACTTCTCCAAACGGACCATCTTCCTTATTATCAATATGTCCCTGACAGAATGCTTGAAAATGACAACTACAAGCTATACTGGGATCGCACTGTGCCACAGACTAACCAGTGGCCCATAATAGACCGGATCTCATACTAGTGAATAAAATTACCAGGCAAACAACACTTATTGATGTGGCGATACCTAACACTAACAATTTGCGTTTTAAATACAACGAAAAGATCGCCAACTATAGAGATCTGGAAATACAATGATCAGGAGACAATGGAGAATGGAAAGTACCCAGACAGTACCTATTGTTCTATCTACTACTGGTGTTATTCCCAAAAACCTCCTAGCGAACATAAAACAGCTGGGTCTAAATGAACATCTTTATAAGGCCATGCAGAAAGCTGTACTCCTCGCGACGTCCAGATGTGTACGAAAATTTCTGGGAGATACTCCAACATACCAAGTCACCTAGGGCTCGATAACACGGAAAGAGTCCCACCAGAGCTCAATCCTTTTAATACCGTAGGTATCTGGGATGAGAGAATTGTCCCCTTAGAGGGAGTGTGAGCCGTATGGCTAAATCTGGATAAAAAAATAAGTTTGTATTGTCTAATGCCATTTAAAACCTAATATTGGAAACAAAATGATAAAAACTGGACAATTCAATGTAAATATTAGGATCGAATTGTTTTCTAATACCCCTTTGTCCGATTCTTCTTGATCGATGATGGTAAATAAACGGTTGAAGTGTGGAGTAAAAATTATAGTTTTATTGACAGCTATTGATAATAACTCTCTAGTAGTTCGTTAGGTAACTTTCTATAATAGGCTGTGCTCAAATGAGCTCAAATCCCCAATTTATAATTTCACAAATAATGTATACCTCAGCATAGATGTTAATGCTTCAATCATACTAACAAACTTTGAACTATGAGCTTAAAATACAATTCAATCTAGGCCGTTATTACAACACTTGCGGAGTTCATTTAGAAAATATATTATTTGTCAATTTATTAAGCTAGCAAGTTTGCAGGTTGAATGACTCTAATTATTAAAATATTACTCGATCTATTTCACAAAGTTTTAATTATACACATTAAGAAGTAGCAGTGGCAAATGGGATTAATTTGTGACTGAACAAAAACAAATTCAAACTGTAATGAATCACCTACATAAATGAAGCAAAAAAACTAAAAAAATCTTGTATGCTATTTTGCTAAAATGGCCTACACTTGTCCCGATAAAACCACCCAACTGTCGTGACCGACAACATTGGACCTGATGGATAGTTTGTGTGTGTAGGCTTATTCATCCACAAAAAAAAGTTATACCCGACGGTCTGGCCGATCGATTTGGTTGAACAACAACGACATCCCGACAGCGGACTTACAAATGACCCAACCTGTCTAGTCGGGAATTGATAACTCTTTTTGTCGGTCAATAAGCCTACATACATACCAACCGTCGGGCCCAACGTTGTCGATCACGACAGTTGAGTGATATTGTCAGGACAACAGAAATATTACAAAATAGATTATATACTACGAATATTACAACAATTTATCTGTTTGTTTATTGAGCCTTAATCCATTCATCTTTGGACATAGGACTTGCCTTGCTAATTATCCACAGCTGATTTGTCTGGCCAGCGTGTGAAAATTATGGCCAACTAGTTACATGATGTGTTTTCCAATACCATAGAAGAGCTGTAAAACTGAAAAACTGCAAAAATGAACAAAATAACGGAAACAAGTAGAACATATGGACTGGATATAAACACTAAAGCTGATCATCAACAAGGAAAACATAACTGGAGCAAATCTGTATGTAAACCAAATGAGAATTGAACGTGTCTCACAGTACAACTACTTGGAAACTATAATCAATGAGTAATGGAACAATACCCAAGAGATTAAATGTCGACATTGGTCAACATCGTGAAGGGCTGTAAGCTGCAGTACTTGGGACATATAATTAGAAATCATGGCAGCTACGAGCTACCCCAATGCATTTTGCAAGGTAAACTTGAGGGAAAAAGAGCCCCAGGATGAAGAAGAATATCCTGGCTTGCTAATCTGAGAGCATGGTATAGAAAGACCTCAACACAGCTATTTCGTATAGTAACCAATAAAATCATTATAGCCAGAATGATCGTCAACGTTCGGAATAGACAGGCACCCTAAGAAGAAGTCATAAGATAGACAAAATGGAAATACTATTGTAGCATCCCGAATGCGCAATGGTGCTAACTAAGAATTAAAGAAGAATAAAACAAACTAGGATATACCAATAGGAGAAGCAAACATATTAGTCAAGGCGATATCTGTTCTAAAACAAACTCATTTGGATGAATCGTACCTATATGATCCTAGTTATTTGGTTTAATCGCTTTAAAATATTATTAGAAATGATAATTTAGCTATGCGTACACCCCAAAAGGTGGGTTATATTTTTTATTGAACAAATTGTGAAAAAAAAAATGAGTAAAATTCATTGTTTTTCTCCTTTTCGTTGCTATATCTCGGCAGCTATAGAGTTTAGAAACATTTTCTAACTACAAAAAATTTTACAATTATATTTCCTATAATTGTTATTGCAAATTTAGCAAAAAGAATTTAAAAATGGTCAAAAATAATTGTTTCTTCAATAAATTTTTTCAGTCATTTAAGAGCTACATAGAACTTTCTAAATTCACGCAGTCAATATTTGAAATATAAAAAAACACTTCACCACAATTTCAGCACAATCGCTCAAATAGTCTTTGCAAAATAATTTTGCAATCTAAATTTTTGAAAAAAAAAAAATTATAAATTTAACTTATGCAGAGCCAACAAAAAGAGTTTTAAATACATGAAAGTTTTTTACGTATAAAATGGTGGTATTTAAGCTGTCAACTAAAAGTCCAATCATTGAAATCACTTGAATAGAAGAACCTAGAGAGTCTTTTAAACAACTGTACAATCTTTAACCTAATAAACAAAAATACAATCACACTATTCAATGTTCAATTAACATTTTTTTTCCTAACGTAAGTCGAAAGTTCAGCAAAAGATGCATGTTATTGAAAACAAAACATTAAGATTGGTAAATTAATTCCGAAGTTATGATTGAACAAAGTTGACCGACATTTACTACAATAGTACGAAGGTTTAAAATCAGTTTTCTATAGAAATACACTTCATCTAATTTATATACCGATGCACGTCATCGGCGTCATAGCCTGTGACGTCACCTGATACCAACACAAAATATTTAGGGTGTAGGTGTGTTCTTTTTTAGAATCACTTTACCGAGTACACTGGCATTACAGCCACTAGAAATATTTTATTATATACGCGTAGAAATAATATTTAAAAATTTCTATTTATGTTAACTTAAAGAAATACACAATAATATGTTTCATTTAATTTGTATAAATGCATTATAAAGCGTTTTTATCAAGAACATTTGTTTGGAACACACTGTAACTGTATTTGAACGAAGGTAAAATTTTGGCATAAATTGGTAACACTTATTTGACAGTTCCGGTGTTGACATTTTTTGTACTTCATTATTTTGAATTTTAAAGTGAATATCTCTTGTTTTATATTTTTAACTATTTAATAAAATCTGTTCTTTTTAGAACAAAATTAGTGTGTTTTATTTCAAAAATGTCACGTAAGAATTTAAATATTTACGTTGTAAAGAGATGGTAATACTTTTGCAATAATTATATAATCTATTTGATTTAAAATGGAGTTAGGATTTTTTTATACTTTGGCAACTATGTCAACTTCGATCTCTGACGTAGATAATGACGTAAGTCTTTATCTAAATTAGATGAAGTATACCTTTGTTGTTCTAAATGCCTAGTAGATATAAATTTTCACCTTTTTTCTTTTGTGCAACCTGGTGAAAATGTTGATTTAAAATTTTAAAACTAAAGAAAAATCTAAGAGACTTTATATATACTACAGTGATAACGACAAAATTTAAATTATCTCAGCTCCTAGTGGAACAATTGGGACCATTTTTTGTTAATTAGTAACCCTTGACTTAAAACGGTTAAATATTATACTTAATTAATTATTTTCTATGTTTTTACATATAAATGAACACTTGCCAAATTATGACATCATTCATTTTTTTTTCGTTCGCTAAGGTTACAATATCAATGTTACAATATCAACTGTAGTATTTTTTTATTAATTAATCTAAATATATTTACTTGTAGATATTACTTGTAGATAATGTTATAAATAAAACTGAATTTAATAAATCCGGGATCGATTACTTGTTAAGTCATTTTCGATCCTAACTTCGGAATTAATTGACCAATCGTATTCTTT